ATCGTTGGCCGCGGCCCGCTCGAAGAGCTTCGAAGTGGGCGTCCAAGGCCCTTGCATCCTTATCGCGCATCCTTACTGTACGGGTTTACTGTACCTTGAAATCAGATGGGACACCAGATAGTTTCCAATACCTCTGCTCGTCATGGAGAGCCCTCGCCGCGACGGATGGCTGCCGTTGGAGATTCTGGTCCGAGCGCACCTGGGCAGAGGGCTTGCAAGCAGTGGCATCGGTACTTGCTTCGTCTGTCCGTGTGGCAACAAAACCTTTACCTTTTCCTGCACTTCAACTTCGGCACCGTCTGATCCCAGGGCTTCGCCCTCTCTCGGCCTTGACGTGAGGCCCCGCCTTCTTTTGCCCTCCCTTTGCTAATTAAAGCTGTGCGCGGCCCGCTTAGCTTCTATCGGAAGAGGTTCGCTCTCGCCCCGCAGATAAAAAAAAGAAGAAGTGGCAGCAGAACCAAGCATTGAAGAGAGCATTGTATTGCAGCGTGCATGCGGGAGGCCAAGCGGACGACCAGGGAGGGAAGACCATGCGGGCGACCACACGGGAGACTACCCGGAGTGACCACACGAGAGGCCGCACGGGAGACCCCGCGGGAGAGCCGTCTCGAGAGACCACGCAACACCGCTCCTGGATCGCAGGGCGGGCTCACATCCGGCCTCAGCAACACGATGCAGGACCTTCGCAGACGAGAAACACGATGTGGGACCCTTGCATTTGGATGCGGCTCCTGGGAGGTCAACTTCTGACTCTGCCCTGGTACGACATCTGGTTCGATCCGACCTCATCCCGCTTCATCCGGCCCAGTCCCGCTTGATCCGCGGCCTGATCCGGCGCAGCAGCCCCCCGAGGGGGCTTCATTCTCCTGCATCCCTACGACGAAGATGTCCCAGCAGCAATGGCCTCCCGACAGACGAGAGCCACGATATGCGACTCCTGCAGACGAGCCGCTTGGGGACTCTGCTCCGCCGTCGGGGGCCACGAGCTCCTCCGGCCGTCCTGGGAGTCGGGCGCCCCCGACGGCGGACGAGCTCCTGCACTCGGGCCGGACGAAAGGGGGGGATAGGGAAAGGGGGGGTTGCGAAATCTGCTGCGTGCAGCTGGTTTCGGCCCCGCCGCCGGGCCCAGTCCTCGATGCCTGGGCGCCTCCCAGCGCCAGGAGGCGCCGGGAAACTCAGGTCTACGTGAGCGGATTCTCAACCCCGCCCCTTTGCTATCCCCCCCTTTCGCCCGGCCCGAGCCCCCGACGGCGCACAAGTTCCTGCACGTCGGCGGCGCGACTGGGGGGGGGGACAGGGGCGGGAGGGGGCGGGCCTGCTCAGGAGGCTCCGAGGGGCCTGCGGCCTCCGAGAAGGAGCTTCCTGGGCCCGCTCCGGCGCCCCGGCGCCTGCCGAGAATGCCCGCCCCCCCCCCTTGGCATTGCCCCCTGGGCCTATGATGTTCCAGCCTGCATTTAGCCTTGATCACCAGACAGACTCTCGAGCACCGAAAAAGTACCCGAACTCGAGGGTCTTCACGTGTCGGGCCCTGGGAGACACTCGCCCGACACTGTTTCGACACTCTTTCGACACTTTTCTGGGTCCTCGAAATCATTTTTGGGATGGAGTCCTTAAGCACGAGTTAACCCTTGGCACGCCGCCGAAAATTCAGTTGCATCGTCAGCTGAAGATGACCAGCTTCTCATCGCTCGCGCGTGTGGATTCTGCATGTGGTGCACCTGCGCTGCCTCGTGGGCCCGCTCGGTCCACCATGGGCCTGAGCGGGCCAGAACTGTGGAGCTCTGAGGAGATCGATTGCCACCGTCGGCCCCTCGCGGAGGAACAACTACCGCTGCACACGCCCGCACACGCACGCGAAAGCCGCGCCCAAGCGGCCACACGTTTTTGCACTGCTCAGAAGGGAGAAAAACACAGACACAAAGACTCGTCGATGCCCAGGAAATTATAGAACATCTGGGAACCAGAAGGGAAGACGAACGTCCAGGAAGTATGGAGAATATGCAGAACCTTTGGATTTGTATCTATGGTCAACGCGCCTAGTAAGGACGCGCACCTTCTTCCAGGGTGCCCTTGTGTCCTTGCCTCTGCGGCCCGTCTTTTGCCGTTTTCACTGGTCACCCGCCGCCCCAAAAATCCCAACCTCGGCCTCCAAGGGTCTTGCGTCCTTATCTCCTGTCCCTGATGCACGTTTTGATTGTACAGTGGGGACCCATGCCAAGAACCACCCTGCGTGCCTCCAGGGTGCCCTGGGTTTCTTGGGCTTCGATGGGTTTGCTGTGGAAAGCGGGACGTTCCCACACCAAAGCATCCCTGGACGTCCTGGGGTCTCAGGGTGGGGCTTCTTGTGGAGGGGTTCTTGTGGACTGGCCTCCACTCTGTTCCTTGCTGTGTGCTCCTGGGCCCCTTCCGATGGCAGTCTCCCGGAGGTCCGCGCAGCTCCTCGGGGCCTGGCCGCCCGCCGCCCGCCGCCCCGAGATTTCCCTCAATCCTCGGCCTCCGAGGGTCCGCTGCGCCACTGGGGAGGTGGTGCGGCGGCCTGCCTGGGCGCGTGGCCCCAGGACTCCGGAGCCTCTGGAGACCCCCCTCTGGGCAAGAAATGAAAAAGCTCGGCCTCCAAGGGTCTTGCGTCCTCGTCTCCTGTCCCTAAGACCGTGTTCGTTTTGGCTCGGGGGCGAGCGAGGAGGGGGGGGGAAAGTGAGGAGGAGACGGCCTGCGCTCAAAAGGCTCGGAGGTCCCCCGGCCTTCCGAGGAGTTTCCTGGGCCTGCCCCGAGGACACAACAAAAACCTCAGGAGGCGCGGGGGCTTCTGAGAAGTCCCGCCGCCTTCCGAGAGGACCCTCTCCCTCTCGCTGCCCCCCCTCGCTCGCCGCCGATGTGTGTGCTCCCGGGCCCCTCCCGGCCTGCAGCCCTCCGGGGGTCCGCGCCGCCCTCCTGGGCCCCGCCGCGGGCCGCCACCCCCTGTTGGGGAGACACTCCTCCAAGCCCGAAGGGAACGACTTATATATACATATATATATATATATATATATATATATATGTATCCCCATCTGGGGGGGGGGGAATCTCGGCCAGTGGGGCCCAGGCCGCGCCGCTGAGGATGGGGATCGCTGGAGCGATGCTCCCAGCCTGCCGCCCTCCGGAGGTCCTGTGCCCCGCCGTTGGCCGCCACCCCCTTCGTGGCCCTCGGGGCGGCGCCCCGCCCCGGGGGCGCCTCTCGCCGGAGCGACCCGCCTCGGGGCCCGCTTCGGTGGTCGAGGGGAGCGGGGGCCCATCTCGTGGCTCGTGCTTCGCTTCCTCCGCTGCGATGCGCTTCGACGTCGATGGCCTCCGATGCCGATGCGCTTCGACTGCGGATGCCGATTTGGGCGCTCCTGTTCCTCCACGGAGCCATCCTGGCCTGTCGAGGTCCTCCGATTCGGCTTCTCCCGACTCGGCTGCCGACTTCGCCGATCCGATTCATTTCGATCGCCGATCCGGCTTATCGATTCGGTTCTGGGCTTTCCTGGGGTCGCCGCGAGCGGGGGTCAGCCAGGGCGCCGCATCTTTCAGGATTCTACAGAGCCTGTCGTGCACGGACCCAGGCTTGCGTGCAGGATTTAGCAGGATCGTGCAAGGCCTGACGGACCTGGGTTTGCGCTGGTGCGTCCCCGATCGATTCTTCCGATCCGATTCGATTCAATTCCCATTCCGATTCCGATTCGATTCGATTTCGGGTTCTGATCTGGATGTCAATGTCTCAAGGGAGGCCTACCAGCTTGTCGATTTCCGTCGTTTCGACTTCTCCCGGCTCGGCTGCGGTGTCCGCCGAGCCGATCTGACTAATCGATTCGATGTTGGGTCTTCTGTGTTCGGTGCGGGCACACTGGGCTCCCCAGATGGCTGTGTTTGATGCGCCAGCAGCAGCTTCCGCGCTCGGGTTTGGCACCTCCGACGCCCCCCGAACGTCGCGCACCAAAGGTCGCACTTGCCCAGGGTCACTCCTGCGTGCAGCCGAGTCAGGGGCACCGTTTGGGGGTGACAGGCTCAGTGAGGAGCGTGACGACCCCGCATCGCCGCAATCGCCCCCTCATCGCCGATATGGGGCCCGATAGCCCACTCAGCCTGGGACTGGGGTTTTGCTGTCGCGGCGCGAGCCAGTATCTGATCTGCCGGCGGTTTCCGCCGATTCCGGGTCGATCTTTCCCCTTTTGTGCCAGTCTTCCCCTCTAGTATCGATGCCCTTCATCTCGCCCTGGCCCGAGGAATGTGGCGCGGACCTCCGACAGTTCGTTTGTCGTGTCGGCGTTTGGCCTTCCGGAGGACCGTGCCCCCCGCCTGTATGTTGTCGAGCACACTGACGGCGCCGGGCACAGGATGACAGGGCTGGACCTAAACGATGTTTTGGCCATCTCGTGGGCCGTTTTGTTGGAGGCGAAGCGAAGGCAAAACGAGGAAGAACGAAACACATAACGAACACGAAAAACACCTGAAGTTCAGCCCAGCAGGATGAAGAACATCATCGACGGCATGGCGGTGGCCGTGAAAAACGGCATGAATTTTGGGGGAGTCCTGGCCCACGAGTACAGGCTCACGGACCAGCACCTCAACTTCACCACGGTCGTGGAGGATTTCTTCGGCGTTGGGGCGTCTCGGGAGCTGCTGGTCGAGAGTTGCGAGAAGCCCCCCCCGTTCGCCGCCACGTTCGACAGCCCGAGGGCACTCGAAGCCGCGCGGGTGGGCTTTGCGGACAGGGCAGCAGTGTATTGTCCGTCCACGAACGACTGGAACTACGAGAGGGACCGTGTGCCCGTGTCGATGTTCTTCTCGGGTGTTGCCAGAGGTGCCCCTGGCCCAAGGTATCCCCGGCTTTTCGTGCAATTTTGGAGCCCCTGGGCCCCTCTGGGCCTCGTGAGGGGTGCTCTGGAGGCCGTGGGGATCTCTTCGGAACCCTGGGACATCTTTGGCCCGCGACACCTCTGGCAACGCCTGGTCTTCACCTCGGTGCTCCGGGATGCTCTGAGGCAGCCCCTCCTGTCGCGGCCCCTGAAGTTTGCTCCGGGCCGCCTCTCCGTGGCTCTCCATGCCCGCCGGGGCGACTGCCATCGGGATGACGGCCGCCTGCACCCGGACAGCTACTACCTGCACATCGTGGAGCTGATCCGGAGGCACGCGCCGACGGCCGACGTCCACCTGTGGAGCTCAGGGTTTGGGTTCGAGTCTTTCGGACATGTGTCGTCGGTTCTCGGCGATTTCCACCCTCGGGATGCGTTCCAGCGGCTGCCCCCCGCTGAGAAGGCGGGAAAATGGCCCGAAAACCGAAGCCACTCAACGTATTCACGGGGGATTTGTGCAGGGGGAGATGCATCGGCTCCCAATCGCCCATTGATCGCCAATATGGGCCTCACAGATCCACCCCCTGTTCGTGAGCGACCAGACTCGGCAATGGGGGCCTTCTGCCAGTGCATCGGCGATGTATCGCCGATTTGGGCTCGATGTTTCCCCCCCCGAGCCGGCCCCTCTCAGGAGCAGCGTGAGAAATTTGCCGTCGCAGCAGGAGGACTACTGGACCTCAGCCGACTTTGACGTCTATCGCCAGAGCGGGATGCTGGTGCACTTGGACGAGGACCCCCTCATGGAGGCCTGGGCGCACCTGGCCAGGGCGGACATCTTCGTCGGCTCCAGGAGCTCCATGTCCTACGTGCCCGCCGTCTTGAATCAGGGATGCTACGTCTATCCCGGTGGCCTGGACTCCCCTCTGGACAATTGGGTGAACGGGGAATTGGCCGCCACCATCGAGAGCGAGCTAGCGCGGTGTGTGGCACGTGCTGCTGGAGGCGGCCGACGGACGTGGACGTGATGGTCAGATGCGAGGGCGGTGGCAGCAGGCCGAGCGTCTGCGCGTGGACCCGGCGGCCTGGTGCGAGGACGAGGGCAGGAGGCTGATCGCTGGTGCCCGGACTCGGCGGCCTGGTGCGAGGACGAGGGCAGGAGGCTGATCGCTGGTGCCCGGACTCGGCGGCCTGGGCACGACCGCGAGGGCAGCAAGCCGAGCGCGGGGGCACCTGGACGGGGGCTGCCGGGTCACGAGCGCAGCGGCAGGAAGCTGAGATCGCTGGCGCGCGGGCGTGAAGGCCCAGGTCTCGAGCGCGAGGGCAGTCCGCCGAGATCGCTGGCGCGTGTGGACGTGGCGGGCAGGTCTGAGGACGAGGGGCGTGATGGCCAGGCCGCGAGCAGGCGTGCCCAGCAGACGCGGCCCGGAGGGGCGGCGCTCCCGCCCGCCCGGCCGGCAGCCTGGCCCCGGCGCTGCGCGGCGGACGAGGAGGATTCCTCCTCTATCTTTTCCTCCTTTCCTCCTCCTTCATTTCTTCCTCCTCCTGCTCCTCCCTCTCCTCCTCCTCCATTTCTTCCTCCTGCTCCTCCTCCTCTCCTCCTCCGTGCTCGAGGTGTCAGTCCGTACTGCCCCTCGCTGGTCTTCCTTGCGGCCCTCGTTGGCCAATTCATCCCTTCTGGGGGCTGCCTCCGTACCCTCTGGGGGGGCCTGCTGGGCCGTCTTGGGACGATCTTCAGGGCCTCTAGGGTCGTCTTGGACGCTGTCAAGACGAGCAAGGCGAGTTCGGTAGCAAATCATGGGAGCCTGGTATACCCTCGTAAATCTATCTTTAGTGCAGGTTAGCTTCGATTAGCGTCTGGGAGTCGATGGGATAGCGCAGAGTCAGCGTCGGTTCGCGTCGATTAGCGTCCATTTAGCGTCGACTAGCGTCGACTACGTCGATTAGCGTCGATTCGCAAGAGCCGACAAACTGGTATGGGAGGCTCTCATGAGTTGCCACCGAAGGCGAGTATGTCGAACATGCACATTTCCCGAAGGGAATGGGAATATTGTCGTGTCTTGTAGCCTGTAGCCCTCTCTGCGGTCCTCTGGGAGCACTCTTGGGCCATCTAGGGGCCTCATGGGCTGTCTTGAGGCCATCTTGGACCGACGCCATGTTACCTTGGGCAGTCTCGACGCGCTCTTGGACTGTCTCGGCGCTCTGTTTGGGCCGCCTTGAGCTGTCTTAGGGTTCCCTGGAGACTCCAGAGAGCCCACGGGTTGCGTTGGCGAGCTTGTGCCCCCCTTCCCCCCCAGGACTGGTTTTTGGACACCTGGGGAGGGATGAAAGGGGACGTGGACAGCCAATTGCCTCACACGCCTTCTCACCCTGGCAAGCGGGTTCGACGGAATTCGGAAGCGTGAAGGGGGCAGTATGTGGGTGTTGCAGAATCAGGTGTTGTGTGTGTGCTGGGTTCACTCTGGTCCTTCGTCGTGTTGCCCCCCCTCTTCCAATCCTGCATCGTTTCCTCCTATTCAGCATCCTCGTCATCCTCCTCAGCCTTTCATGTTCTCCCTTTCCCTGGTATTCTCTTCGCCTCCCCCTCCAGGTACCTGCCACTGCGCAAAAGAGAACTCTCCACGTCTCACGGTCCTCGTCCACCTCATTCTATCTCATTCTACTCTGCGCCTCCTCACTGTCCTCCTTCCCCCATCAGGCAGGCTCAGGATGAGCTCCAAGCGCTGGAGGTCTCTGAAATGGCCGGGGCGCTCGACTCGCCCGACACAACCTCCAGACCCGCCATCTCTCAGAGATTCTCGACGTCATCCTGGCTTCATCCGAATGCATCTTCATCCTGCCTTCGATTTACCGGAAGGCTTTGCTGCTCATGGGGAGAGAGGTTCCCTTTTCATTCGACCCCCTCAAGAACAGAGCGGAGAAGGGGCCAGATAGAGTCCACTTCAAGTCGATCGATCCGATTCGATATCGATTCGGGCAAGCTCGATCCGATTCGATTCCGATGTTGCCCCTGATGTTTGCGTGGCGCTTATGTGTATCCTGGCCCGGCCGATCCGATTTGGTTATGATTCCATGCCGCCGCCGCGGGCCGATTCGGTGCCTTTCCCGGTCCCATCCGATTCCCCGATTCGATGCTGACCGCTTCTGCCTCCCCCCCTCTCTCTTGACCCCCGACGTCGCGATTTTTGCACAACGTAGACCCCCAGAGGTCTCCACCCATCCCCTGGCGCCGGTTTTTCCTGGGTAGTTGGTTGACGGTCCTGCGGCCTGGCGAGGGCCCCCTGAGTCCGAAAATCACGAACGGTTCCGCCGTGATTCTGTTAATGACGTGAGACCCTCCCCGAAGACTAGGTCGGCCAGGGGGGTCGTAGCCATTTTGGCTCACGCGTTGTTGTTGTTGGAGTTGTTTTTTTCGTTGAGGTATTTGCCCAACAGTAGTCCAAGCATGCTAAACATAAGGAATGTCGTGATGGTCTTCGCGGCAGCGTCGCAGGCACCTGCTGATCAAAGCATCTGCACGCACCCCGATGGGAGTACCAGCCCTTGTCAACCAGGAAATCAGGAGTGCAGCCAATCCGGGTACGGACCCGACGCACCGCAATTCCATGTGCGTGACAATAGTTGTGCTGAAAACGATCCTCAATTTCCATATTACGACCCCACGCACGGGGTGTACCATCTTCACTACCAGAATCACGTTGGTCTTCATGGCGGTCGCACCGTCGGGCATGCGGTCTCTCGCGATTTGGCACATTGGGCTCACATGCCCATTTCAATTTGGAATGACCACCCGTATGACCAGAATGCCATCTTCACGGGTTCGGCATCGACCGTCAATGGAGAGACGGTGTTGGTATATCCAGGACTGTGCGACGCGCGGAAAGCAGGTTGCCCGGGAGGCACCAATCTTTGCATCGCTGTTCCCGCCGATCCTGCAGACCCTTTACAGACGAATTGGACAAAGGATGAGTATGCTCAAAATCCGATAGTAAATGGGACGCAGCGCGACCCGTCCACGGCCTGGCAGAACCCGTGTGGAGAGTGGCAGTTGACCACTTTCGACACCATTATCTATGGAAGCATGGACTTCAAGTCATGGTACAAGATCGGTGCGCAGCCAGGCTTCGTGCACGGCGAGTGCCCTTCCTTTTTTCCGTTGCCAAGGACAACGCCATTCGCCGGACCTGCTCCCACAGGAGCCGAAACGCCATCGCACGTTCATTTGTCAACGCATGATATCGGCGGAGATTTGATGGTTGTCGGGACTTACGTGCCAGGCGAGCGGGGCAAGGTTGGTATTTTCAAGCAGACGCCAGGTGTACCTTTCACTGGAACCAAGATCGACATAGGCGTCACCAAAGCGACCAAGGACTTCTACGATCCTGTCAAGAAGCGCCGTATCCATTGGAGTTCGGTTCACGTCGGGGACCATTCCAGTCCAGCGAGAGACTTTTCAGGCTTCGTTCAGTCCATGCCCCGTGAGGTCACCTGGAACCCTGAGCTGCAGCAGACTGTCCATTCCCCGATCGAGGAGCAGGCCTTGCTGCGTGGGAGGGTGATCGGGTCGCTTGCGTCACGCATCCTCCAGGCTGGCCACATACTCTCCTTGGATCTGCCTGCGAAGCTGGGGAGCCAGAGCGAGATTCGAGTCTCCTTCGCTCGGCCATCTGTGCCGACAACGCTGTCAGTAAAGGTGATGGCCAACATTACTTCTTCCAGTTCGCTGCACGCTGGAAAGATGCCGACGCCTCCCGAGAAGGCGACGTTGTCGGGTGGGACAGATTTCTCCATCGACTACTCGCCGAACGAGGACGGACAGATCAGCACCGTGGCGGTTCGCGGCGGCTCGTTCACACACAGACTGAAGCTTTCGCCAAATGACAAGACCATTGAGATGGCTCTGTACGTGGACAACACGTTCACCGAAGCATATTTCATGGATGGTCGCGCAGTGATGACTGTGCCAACAGCCGCCACCCAGGATGCCGCCGTGGGCGTGAGCTCGTCTGCTGATGGAGTGTCTCTGAGATCCGCAACTGTCTGGCATGTATCTCCGATCTGGATCACTCCGGAGGATGTGAAGAGCGCACCGCGCCCGGATGGACCGGCCTGCTGCCTAGGAAGCCCCGTCGCGGGCCGCGGGGGCTCGCGGGATGTCGCGAGGAAAATCCCGGAGGCCTCGCGCGGCGCGTAGTAGTAGTAGTAGTAGTAGTAGTAGTAGTAGTAGTAGTAGTAGTAGTAGTAGTAGTAGTAGTAGTAGTAGTAGTAGTAGTAGTAGGATCATCTAGTTCACACATCAGCCCCGTAGGCTATACGGGTCGACGCTCGCGCGGCGACGCTCCGGAATCGGTCCGACGTACATCCGACGTAAAATGCCGACGTAGTCCGACGCGAGCCCGACGCAATCCCGACGTGGATCCGACGCACCTCGGGTCGCAGGTTGCCGCGCGAGGCCTCCGGGATTTTCCCTTATGATCGGGGGCGGAAAAGTGGGGGGTGATGACTAGGGGGGGGTGGACATCATGGCGCGGGCCATGATATCTCCCCAGATTTCATGGCGCCTCTTCTCATTTCATTACGTCCCTGGCCCCTCCGCTGGGCCGCGCACATGCTGCCGGTCATGATTTGCACACACCCCTCTTGGACACCCCCCTCTTTGCCGTTCCCGATATGAGGGATGGCCCCGCAAGCTCTCTCGGTGTCGGCCCGCTGCGGCGAGGAGAGGGGAGGGAGGAGGAGGAGCAGGGCGAGTCCTGAGGAGGGAGGGCCAGGAGGAGGAAGAGGAGGGGTGGCGCGAAGGAGGGGCGTTTGCGGAGGAGGGGGAGGAGCGTCCGGAGGAGGATAAGGATGAGGAGGAGGAGGAGGAAGAGGAGGAGGAGGAGGAAGAGGAGGAGGAGGAGGAGCTGGAGAAGGAGAAGGAGGATAAGGAATGGCGCGAAGGGGGGGAGTGTGCGGAGCAGGAGGGGGAGGAGTGGGAGGAGGGGGGGGAAGGGGAGGGGGAGAAGGACAAGGAGGATAAGCAGATGCCGGTGCCGCTTACCGCCCCTCGTCACCACGGCCGGACTCGCCTCGGGATCACTGTCAGAGCGCGCCTTCGGAGAGGTCCGGGAGCAGCGGTGCCGGTGTGCTCATGTTTCCCCAGGGGGGAAGGACCGAAGAAGGAGAAACGCCATAAACATACACAGTTTGGCGCTCGGCGCGCATTTCTTGGATCCGCCCCAGCGGCGCCTCCGACTCCGCCCTGACGCGCTGCGCGCGCCAGGCAGGGAGGTCCAGCGCAGATCCAAGAAATCCGTGCGGAGCGCTAAAAGTTTACGATTATGGCGTTCATCCTAAGTGGGGTTTTTGTTTTCTCTGCACACCCTCCGCGCAGGATCTCTCCTCCTCCTCCTCCTCCCTCTCCTCTGCTCCTCTTTGCTTCCTCCTCCGCATCATCATCACCATCACCATCACTCTCCACTCATCATCATCATCATCATCATCATCATCATCATCATCATCATCATCATCATCATCATCATCATCATCATCATCATCATCATCACCATCAGCATCACCATCACCATCCCACGATCACTCACCATCATCGGCATCGAACGATCATCATCATCATCATCATCATCATCATCATCATCATCATCATCATCATCATCATCATCATCATCATCATCATCATCATCGCTGACTTGAGGCCTGAATATGGAGGAAGTCTCGAGCGGGAGCCTCGTCTGTGAGTGAATTGCGAGGAAGTCTCAGGCGGGAGCCCCCTCCCTATGGGGCCCGCACTTCATGTTTGAATCCGAGCGGGTCATCCGCAACGTGCAACTGTCGTCACTTTTGGGCTCTTGAGATATGAATATGGAGGAAGTCTCGAGCGGGAGCCTCGTCTGTGAGTGAATTGTGAGGAAGTCTCAGGCGGGAGCCCCCTCCCTATGGGGGCCCGCACTTCATGTTTGAATCCGAGCGGGTCATCCGCAACGTGCAACTGTCGTCACTTTTGGGCTCTTGAGATTTGAATATGGAGGAAGTCTCGAGCGGGAGCCTCGTCTGTGAGTGAATTGCGAGGAAGTCTCAGGCGGGAGCCCCCTCCCTATGGGGCCCGCACTTCATGTTTGAATCCGAGCGGGTCATCCGCAACGTGCAACTGTCGTCACTTTTGGGCTCTTGAGATAAGAATATGGAGGAAGTCTCGAGCGGGAGCCTCGTCTGTGAGTGAATTGTGAGGAAGTCTCAGGCGGGAGCCCCCTCCCTATGGGGCCCGCACTTCATGTTTGAATCCGAGCGGGTCATCCGCAACGTGCAACCGTCGTCACTTTTGCGCTCTTGAGATATGAATGCGGAGGAAGTCTCGAGCGGGAGCCTCGTCTGTGAGTGAATTGCGAGGAAGTGTCAGGCGGGAGCCCCCTCCCTATGGGGCCGCGCTTCATGTTTGAATCCGAGCGGGTCATCCGCAACGTGCAACTGTCGTCACTTTAGGGCTCTTGATATTTGAATATGGAGGAAGTCTCGAGCGGGAGCCTCGTCTGTGAGTGAATTGTGAGGAAGTCTCAGGCGGGAGCCTCCTCCCTATGGGGCCCGCACTTCATGTTTGAATCCGAGCGGGTCATCCGCAACGTGCAACTGTCGTAACTTTTAGGCTCTTGAGACTTGAATATGGAGGAAGTCTCGAGCGGGAGCCTCGTCTGTGAGTGG